GATTGAGTGTTTGTTTGCAAACAACAACTGTTTGTTTACTTTTGATGTGAGCTTTAAATACAATACAATAAATACCTGACAATCAGTCCATTGACTCTTCATTTGTTTTGTTTGTATTTTTATGGAAATGTTTGATTCAAAGACAGGCTTTTATTGAAACTAATCTATAATTAGAGGCATTATTATAATATTTATTTTTATAGTTTAGTATTACGAGCATACAAGTTTCATAATCTTACCCTCAATCACTGTAATATGACCCTTACCCAATAATCCTACATACGATTAATAACTACATAAAATTATGTCATATATGAAAACTAATACTTTTAAAGATTTGTTCATTAAAAGTGCACTAACAAGCATAATATACAATTTAGACATAATCTAGAATATTCTTAACTTGATCTGGTTTATAAAATGAGTGTTGTATATTCTTTACGAACACATTTTCATGTAAAACATTGAATAATAACAGAAGTGTATCATGCAACTTTAGTGATTAGATTTTAAACAAAATATATATAATAATGAAACTAAAACTTGTTTGACTGTATAAACATGCGGGTAGACTACCATTAATGTCTGCAATTAGTAATTATTTCCAATTACAACTATTCACAACAATAACTTGTTTGCATATAAATATTTTTGTCCAATGCCCCCGTTTTGTCACAATAATATACATTATTCTGACATTATTAAAGTTAAACATTGTTAGCCGGATCAATTTCATAAAACAGTTCGTGTACTTAATATGTTTTGAAGAAAATTATAATTCTGTATTTTCGTTTATATTTTGTCCTGGATAAATGTCCTGGAAGTTATAATACCTGTAGTTGCGTAACGGCATATTACAGTCAAGTTATACAATACCACAAGTCTGAATGTATTTATGTAAGACAGTAGAGGGCATTACCAGAATCACCTTGCTTGTCAAATTTGGAAGCTGCCACTGCACTGCACTGTACTATAGAATTATACATAATTCTCACGATCTTTCACGTGTTCGTACACCTGTAGGCTATATAGGATGCCATTCAGTAGCCAACGTATAATGCTTTACACAATTAAATAAGTTATTGAGTCGAGCCTTACTGTAATTGGTAGTCATATACCATATATTATATTGAATTCTATTGAATACGTTATACATTAGAATAACAAAGAAGTATTTGTCAATTCAAATAGAAATTAATTAAAAATGAGTTTATTTTTGAATTTTGTTGATATCACAATTAAATACAATAAGTTAGGTAAAGTACAAACGGAATGTATGTTCATTAGAATAACAAAGAAGTATTTGTCAATTCAAATAGAAATTAATTAAAAATGAGTTTATTTTTGAATTTTGTTGATATCACAATTAAATACAATAAGTTAAGTTAAGTACAAACGGAATGTATGTATAGTTAATGTAAAAAGGTTTTGGTGCAATGTTATAATAATGAGTAAATTTGAGACAAATGGTAATATTGTTACAATAGCAAACCAAATTATAGTAAAATATTAATTCAGTTAAATTTAAATAAATTCATTCAATGCTTAACTCTTTTCAATACTCTTTCATAAAATCATTTTCTCTCAAAACATATTAAAGAGATTATCTATACTTTCAAAACATTCTCTCCTAAAATAACTCAAAATAATATCTTAATATAAATCTTAAAAATGATGAAAATATCAGCAAAGATGTTATTCTTTGAATGGAAAGTCGTTGTCATTGAACTTGAAATGTCTTTTGTCGTAAAACTTGGCCAACGCTGGACTGTACGGGTGATGGCATTTCAGATGCATGTAATGAGTCTCGGGTTGGTTTGTAGTATTGCCTGAATTGAGAAAATATTTAGTGAGTGAGTGTCATATGTATGCTATATATATGTCATATATATATATGGCTTATATGCTCGTGAATTACCGCATTCCTCGCAGACGTACACCTTATTCCTGCGCTCCTTATACCCATATTCGTGTGCAATTCCGTGCACTTTCAGAGTATGCGATTCCAGAGAACATCTCTGTGTAAAAGACTTATCACAAAAGTTGCACCGATAGGGACGCACACCTATGAACGCAATGTACAGACAGGGCATACAATTAGCGACTCATTCATACGTATGTTTCATAAGTATGAGTAATACCGGTGTGGGTTCGGGTGTGTCTCTTCAAGTCGAAGGTATCGTTGAATCCTTTGCCACAAAATGTACACAAATAGCGTTTGACGTCTGAGTGACATTTGAGATGTCGGTTCAGAAGTCGCGCTAAAGTGAACCGTTTTCCGCAGACCTGACACTTGAGTGGATCTTCGATCTCCCGCTCCCGCTCTGGGATCACTTGTGAGCCCTTCGTGTGGTGACCGCTGCTCACAATCAATGGGTTTTTGATGCCGTGTCCGCCGTTCACGAACTCTAATGAGCCGATCACATGGACTGGTAGTCCTATATTACAGTAATGATAGTGTGTTAGTGCAAGGGTTGAGAGATGGGCGCAATAGCGGTTATATAAGTGGTATATAAGTGCTATAGAGTGATGATTACCCAGTCGTTGTGCAATGATCTGTACGGGCGGTATAGGCAGGTCTATAGGCGAGTCCAAGTCTTCTTCAGCCGATTCGACGACAGACGAGGGCTTATGTGTGGTGTGAATAACGGATACTCTTCTGACAGGAGAGACTGACAGTAATGGAAATAATTGTTGGGAATAATGATTAGAAACCGGTTTCTCGTTTTGGAGGCTTTGGCCAAATTCAATGCCAAGGTTTCAATGCATACCTGTTTTCGTGCTGTGATTTTCCTCTCTTTCAAGAGTTGCTCTTTTATTATCGGATTGAAAGCCTGCAAAACAATAACCGTTACGATTAACAATAGCACATACATTGTACACTGTTCAGGGTACTATTCATGGCTCAGCCAAATTCAATTTGCACTCAAATTCTTTGCTTTATTTCACTCACAATTAGTTTCTTTTATAGTCAAAACTAATAAAGTATTTGAAGTTTAAATCAAAACTTTCTAAAAGTAAACTAAATTTGACAGATTGTCAAACATTGCTTTACAAAGTCCTTATCGCCTATATTTCATCAAACAGGTTTATTATATAATTCAATACAAGGCATTTCATTTTTTATAATAAATAACGCATTGCTAAATAAAAGTTTAACTATTAGTTAGTAAATAAACATTTAGTTTAAAGTCTGATAGAAATATTGTGTACAATAATTAAGTTTGAAACTTGATGCAAGTTATTAGTAAATATGAATTCATATAAAAGTGATGATTAGAAATGAAATGAAATAATACCTCTGAAATCGTTGTCACTATCACTGGTGCAACAACTGGAAGGCGATGACAATATGACACCACTATATGATGGACTGAATGCATGATTGGACGAGTGGTCGATCTTAAGAGGCGATTCTCTCATCAACTTATTTGTGTTAATTCCATCTTCTTTTGGTAAATCCCTGGTGTGGAGGATGTCTTCTTCATCAGGACTGGGCGGTGGTGTGACGGGTCTCCAGTGGTCCCGTCCCGACGCCTTCTTACGGATGAGAAAAGCTTTGGGCATTGCT